ACTGATTAATTTTTTTAATAAAATATACTTAAATCTACCTTTATAAAATTAAACTTTAATAAGTAGAAATACGAAAGTTTAATAAGTTGATTTAAACGAAAGATTGAGTCATTTATAGAGGCCTTCGAAATATTGTTCCAATTATTCATCTATCCATTTATCAAAGCTAAAATTATAGTCAATTATTGATTATTGGGCCTATATAACATACAATTAACGCGTGCGAATATAAGAAATGATGCAAAATCTTGAAAGCAAACACGAATTCAGCAGTTAAACAAATGTGTTGAAGTCGTGTGTGACGGCACGAGAATGGATCGAGACAAAGGGTAAAATTGTGGGAGTTGGGGCAATTTTCAAATAACAATAAATAAAAATCGTCCCTGCAATGACGATTTCAACTGAAGCTACAATAATAACGTGATTGAACAGTATCTGCTGAACGTAATTGAACAATATTTGTTAGGTGGAATAAGGAATCAGGACATGGGCAACACATGCATCACTGATGGGCAACACATGCATCAAAAATTTAATCACGACATGGCAAAAATTTAAGCAGGACATGGGCAGCACATGCAGTGTTCTTATCAGAATTGTTTTCTTTGCCTATAATTACAGCTTATATGTTGCATATCTTCAATATTCTATAGCCTCTATTTAGTCTTCTCATGACTCCATAATCAGCTTGGACATGAGACCATATTACATGCATCTATCCTAAAGTAGAAGATTTAACCAATGAGGGGATTGTTGCAGGGTATGGTTTCCCATTGGCTAAAAGGTATTCAATTTTATTTTATATTGTTTTATTCCATTTCTTTATTTCATATTACTTCATTTTATAATAGTATTTTTTTTAATGCAATAGGTGGTCACGACTAGGTTAAAGGTTCAACATGATTACATATGTTGTACATATATTAGGTCTAACATTTTATCAATTAAAAGCAAAGGGGTATTTCATTTAATACAACTTTCAATATGTATTTCTTAAATGATAATAATTCTAATTTTACAAGTTCTATAAAATAATACAGCTTTTGTGAACTCCTTATCTTCGTCTTGTGTTACAACGACTAATAAATGTTGAGGTTTCTCCTGTGAGTCATGTTATAGTTACAATGATATGTTTTGCTATTGTTGAGCATCATCCAACAAATCGGGTTATGAGGCAATTTGGACTTCGCCAACAAATTCCGGAAGACCCGATCAATCTTGACAAACTTCATAAAGAAGACATGAGAGGTAGAACTGATAGATTCAAGCCTCAATATTATGAAACTTGGATTACTGTGTGGAATGACTGTCACAATCGACTAATTTAAGGAAACGAGTTTAACGGGAATGGCTACTTGCGTAAAAATATAATATATATGATATGATATTTTCAAGCATACTATCAAATATATTTCCTCTACCTACGAAAATGATTCAGATGAAGAAGTAATTATATCAATAATTTTATTTTATATATATAACATTCATATCAAACTAATATTGATTTTACTTTTTAACAACACGATATAGAGCAGCAGGAACAACCCCAATATATTGGCAAACCTAGTCATGTCCATGTTGGTCAGTCAAGTCATCATCATGTTGGTCAGTCGAGTAATCAACGTGTTGGTCAGTCAAATGATCAACAACCTTATCCATATTTTGGATATGTTGGTCAACTCCAAAATTTACATGCGCAATTTCAATTTGGAGGACAAGTTCTTCATACATTTACGTCGTTTCCATATGAAACAAACATGTTTTCCACCTCTTCTATAACACCACCATCAACATACAATCAAACACCTTTCGTGACTACTATGTCCAGTATGTCATCTATGCAGTATGCAAAGGAAGATAAAGATGATGATGATGATAGGAAAGCAAGCATTCAACCTCAACCATCACAGGATCGTACGTGTACTACACAAGCACAACAAATGTCTATTCAAGATCAACCACGTAGACGAAGATAACAAATAAGAAGATCAACTTGTGAGATAGGGTTTCATCATTAATTTTTTCTATGATAATGTATACACATGTAATATTTTAATATAAATATGATGGATTAAATTTAATAATATTTGTCTAAATATTTTTATTTTTTATTAAATTAATAATTTAATTAAAAATAATTATTTATTAAATAATATATTTAAAGAAAACGTTTAAAAAAAAGGTAAATTCATGCTTTCAAATACCATTAAAATCGTGTTTAAAAGCACGATTTTAAAAATAAAATCGTGTGTCACGTTTTAACCCATTTTAAGAAAATTAAAATTTGTTAATCCCTTTCAGTAAAATAAAAAAAATTAACCCTCGTTCGTAAAAAAGCCGTACAAAGTCTCAATGACTCTTATAATGCTATTCAGACCCAATTTCTTCTAATGAATCCTTTACCTTCATTCTCTCTAGCTTTTCTTTGGTTATTCAACAAGAAAGTCAACCACCCAACAATCCTATTGTTGATTCTATGCTTTTGTTGTTCATTTCACCAATTATGCATCCTGTTTTTTACTGCTTCAAACAGATTAATTAATATCAGTCTCATAAACTATTTGAAAATTTGTCAACCTCACATTGTCTTTCTCTAATCTCTCATCTAGCATTGACCAACCTCAAAATAATTATTTGACCAGTTATTGTCCACTAGCTTCATTTTATTTTTATCAATGAATGTAAATTGCTAAGATATTTTATGGAGAGAGAACAAAACGAAAGTTGTTAGAGATTATCTAAATTTCTATGATAAAATAGGTTACCATTCCATTAGTAGTGAAAGACAAATGGAAACAAAATCTGAGTACAACATTAACGTGTGATTGTTTGAAATCAAGCAACAATTAAAAAAACTGTAACAAGAATAACAAAAGTTTTACCATTGTTGTTTTTAATTGTTACTTTTTAAAAATATTCTAATAGTAAATGCAAATTAATATACTTTTTAAGTTATGTAAAAAAAATTGTATGTTAAAAATTATTTTTATCTTATAATCATTTTTTTACATATTATAGTTTTATTTTGTTTATATAATAATTTCAGTATAGCCTTTTTGCGACAAATAATTAAATTACCATTTTTAGAGAAAAAAGCTAATATATATAATATCAAATGTTAATATATCTGTAATACATCTAATGCATAAAAAAATGAACCTTGCTACTACGATATTAATTTATATGATTTAATGCATCTGATGTAATATGTCGCAAATAAATGAAAATAAAATGAATTTTAATCTTACATAGTATTACACATTCTTGTCAATAAATAAGATTAAAAAACAATAGTTTATAAAGCATTGCGTAAACCTCTATCTATCTATATAAGTTTATTGAGTATACTCAAGTTTAAATTATTTCTATTGTTAAAATAACTAGATGAGAGGACTTATTTTAAAAATCGGATATTCATGTAATGTTAACAAGCTAAAATATATAAATATATCATCATCAATTTTATTTATAATATGTTAATTCTGATTTTATTTATTTATTCACAGCATGGGAAGAAATCTAATGAATCAGTGATTAATTTTATTTTCTTTTTCCTTTTCAAGTATATTTTGGTTTATAATACTTCAACTTAATATTTTGCTAAAGGAATTGAATCCAGTTTCATTCATATCATTAAAATGTTAATATATTATTTATATACACTGTATAATACTTATAATTGAAAATAAGAGTTTATCACTTAATATTTATATTTGATTTTATTACTACATATGATATTTAATATTATTAACTTTCTAGTTATAATATATTAAATATGATAGTTGTAAATATACTATTTTTAAAATTTAATATATAATTAAATTTAAAAAAATCTAAATATATATATATATATATATTATAATATATATTTTTTACGATATTTTAAATGAATAATTGTAGAAAAAAATGATAAACATATAAATGGAATCCAAAGTAATTTTATGACCAATGTTGAGTTGTTTTATTATAATAATTGAAGTGTTATTGCTTGTTAATATATTTTTAAGAATATATATATATAATTATTATTATTTAATAAATTTGACTATTTATATTTCTTAATTTTTGTTTATTCTACCGGTATGTCAATACGTGCTTGCATAAACAAATAAAAAATGACTTAATTTATATATATATATATATATATATATATATATATTTTATTTATTTTGATTGATGTAATAGTTGTATATTTAATAAATTGGTAAAATACAAAGATTGAGAATAGATAGTAAAATACATCTAAAAAAACCTTAAATTTTTATAAAATTCGAAAACATATGACCATCACGCCATAACATTCACAATTAAGTCCAATTTTATTTATACATTTCTAAATATCTTAATCATATTTATATTTCCAAAAATCACTAGATAAACATGATTTATTTATTAAATATTTTCCATAATCAAATTCTTGTGAAAATGTTAAAAGAATCAAAATATGGTGTCATACCTTGTTTGTCTTTGCAATGATCATACAATACTCACTGAATATATATAAATATCAATAAAAGGTATAATATTAATTTAATTTAATTTTTATATAGTGTTTATAATTGTAATTTATGTAATGAATAGAAAATAGTACTTGAATCAGTGATTAAACGCGTAAACCCATAAAAAAGAAAGGAAAAGACGGGTTCAACCATGATTTAATATAATATAACATAAAAATAATTAAATCCGTACACGTAGTTTTGTTTGGACAAAAAACTATGCATCCAAATTTCAACAAAATCTAACGGTCCAAGTTTAAGATAGGAAAGAAAAAACAAGAGAGAGAGAGATTTTTTCAATCTCATTTCTCAAACTCCAAATCTTCGTTTTCCCCTTCTCTCTACTGAACGAAAAGGAAAAGAGAGTTCAGAATTTAGATCTCATCAATTTAACTACCTTGCTTGCGAATACAAGTAACGTTCCATTGTTTCTCCCAATTTGTGTGTTGCGCGAATCGTGTTACAGTCATGTGATGCTATCTTAGGGTTTTTGAATTTGCGATGGGTCTTGGAAGTGATGACCATGACGGAGACACGCACAAGTCCTTCGGTTCAGTGCCTTGTTCGATTTGTCTCGAGGCTGTTACTGATAACGGTGATAGATCCTGGGCCAAGCTTCAATGCGGACATCAATTTCATCTTGGTATGTGTTATTTAGATTGTTCCGTTCTATTTATTTTTCTTTTTATTATTTCGATTTGACGTTGGTGGATTGGAGTTTGGATGATCGAGATCTGAGTTTTTTAGAGGATTGAGGAACGGTTATTTTGTGGTGATGATGTGCTCGCAATTGTGTTAACGGAGTTACTGGATTAACCTGCTTTTATGTATATGATGATTTAGGAGATGTTATTTTGGTGTTTGCTGGAGTGGCGACATATATATTTTTTTTTTATGAGGTTGTTTAGAATAGCTTGATGATGCTTGTTCGAGTCAGCTGTGGTGAATTGAATTCAATATCTGAACATGTTCCTCTGTTGATTGTGATGAATAAGAGCATGGGAGAGGGAGCGAGTGCTTTGCGCTTTATTATTTTTTTCAAAAGGGCAAAGGGAGCGTGTGGGTCGATCTTTCCTCTTATTTTTCTCATTCAGTACTGTGTACTTCTGGTTGACATATAGCAGCGAACTCCGGATAGTGATCTATCAATTTCTACGGATAAGAATTCCTTAAAAAAATTTCATCGATCTTGTTGAACTGACCAAAGTTAACTCTTTTGGAAGACATTTAATAGTCTTCAAATTTGTTTAGTATTTGTCTCTAAGAGGCTAATTAAATTATATATATATATATATATATATATATTTTTTTTTTTCCATTATATTATTACAAGTTAGCATATAAATAATTGCTAATTCTCTGTCCAAAAAAAATTGATAGATCGGTTTTGATGAGCTGGGAAAATCTTAAAGTTACGTCAAAGTGTTTTCCCTCTGACTTGAACTAATGGTCTGTGCACAAAACACCCTCACCCCTAACAGCCTGTTCTGTGCAGGGAAGTTAGAATATAAAGTTCATGGTTTATACTATTATTTTAATTCACAACACTTGTTTTTATGAATACAAATATTGCTTGGGTCATGTTTTGCTAGACTCAATTTTATGACAAGCTGATCGCTGCGTCTGTACGGCATCATGACGGATTGCTTTACCTATTATATTCTTTATATTGTTCAGATTGCATTGGCTCAGCCTTCAATATAAAGGGGGCGATGCAGTGCCCTAATTGTCGTAAGATTGAAAAAGGTCAGTGGCTTTATGCTAATGGTGGTCGATCATACCCAGAATTTAGCATGGATGAATGGACACATGATGAGGATCTATATGATGTTAGCTACTCTGAAATGGTAATAGACACTACATGTGGCCTTATAATTGTTTCTTCTATTTTGTTCCTCTATTGCAACATAATTATGTGTTTGCATTGGCTTATTTTACTATGAGCCTTAAATTTAATAGTGCAAACTTAAGTGAGTTGCTATTTTTGGGTTTGACCTGCACATAACAAGTATCAGTATTAACTATTCGTTGTATTAATCATTGCTTCTGAGTACTGCTGTCCTGATGAAAGACATAATCCTAGATGGACAATAATTGCATATCGTCCTAACCCATATTATCTATACATCTGATCTTCTACTGATGCTGGTTAACTTAAGTTGCAAAGTATTCCCAAGTAAACTAGCTTATTTGTTTTTAGCCCTATGTAAGATTATAAAACTGTGAACATGTAATTTGCTGGATATGGTCAAAAAGGATATACCAGACAATTAATTCCTATTAGTGCATTATTTTCCTCCATGATTATTTACAGTGCATAGTTCTATCTGATATCCCTTTTTCTTTTGTTATATAATAGTTATAATTATTTCATTCATTTCCATTTGTTTGAAGATAGATACATTCCATTTACCATCTTGAGTAAACTTTAGTTCTGAATGCTTTCTGCAGTCCTTTGGAGTTCACTGGTGCCCTTTTGGAAATTTGACCCGACTTCCTTCATCTTTCGAGTAAGTTTATAGGAATATAGTTGCATATGCATCCTGACTAATCTCTGTTAAAAATCCTATTTATGATATTCCTTTGTTCTTTTAAGTGCTTTGCCCTTGATAAAACATGCATATGGATTTTTTTTAAGGATTTTTCTAAGATACAATTGGTATTTCAGTGTTATTAATACCACTTGATTTGTTTTAGGTCCCACACATTATAAAAGGTTAGCCATGGTGTGCTTCATTTTGAACCAAATTAGGTTAATAAGGATAAATCTCAAATGTGGTTAAAGTATCAAAATCATCTGAATTCTTAAATTCAGATTATATTTTAGGATAATAATTTTGAGAACTAAGAGGGGAAGATAAATCGTTTCTGGTTAGAAAATTGAACAGAGTAACATCAGTAAAATGTGAAAAGGTAGCTTCTAAGTTGCTCTGTGAAGTCTTTGTATTCAGTAGGACTTCAATTCCCAATTGATTCAGGACTGAACTTGAGAATTAGACATAATAGATCAGTCTAGCTTTGTCGAGAAATACCAAAATTTCTGGTGAAGTCAATGTAAAGTTTTAATTTATGTGTATTGAATTTCTCTCATTGTCACAAATTGTGAAATCACACTTCTAATATGTAAAGATAATTCTTTATGAAACAGTTACATATAGGAATTCTAGGTAAAAAATATTGCAAGTTGAATTCTAATATTCAAGCATACTCAAGTAACCAAGAAAAAAGGTTTAGGGATGGGTCTTATACTCCTTGGCTTTAATTCTCCTTGTTATGAAATATCTTACTTTATCCAGTAGGACAAAAATTAGCCTATCCATGTTGAAATGAGGCTGGTTTTGGCTTTATACTGTCATGGCATTTTACCTATTCTTAGTAACCTATAATCTATAATAGTAATGAAAGGAGTAACCCAAATTACTCTACACATTTTGTTAGACTACTTTAGCCCTTGACTTCTCTCCAAACCTCTCACTGTTCTCTTTCAAACTTTCATGTCAAATTAACTATATTAAACTGTTTTTTTTTTAAATAACCATGTTATCAGTGCATAATATTTACCGGCTTTGCCACTAACTAATATTCGTAAGAGATATGACTAATTACTTTTAGTGGGATCTCTTCTCCCAATCATGATTTTTTTCATCCACAAAACTTGAATCCGAGACTATTGGTACTATATTAACAGCTAAAAGAAATCAAATTTAATATTTCTTCAATAAATAAAAAAATGTGGACAGACTAGCACTACCAACATAAGATTGGCTTAGAAAAAAATTAGAATGTTACTTTGGGGTTAAGAACTGATTTTAGTTCTGTAACTATATCTGTCAGACATGTTGAAATGGAAAATTGGTTGTGATTGTAATAGAATGTTGTGATTATGGATGACTAGGAGAAGCAGAAATTGGTATTAATGCTACCTCCTCCTGAAAAAGAGTCTTTTAAATGAATTGGTAGCTCATATTCTGCTTTTTATTTTTCCAGGGAAGGGGATTTTTCATCAACTGCATGTAAGATCCTTTTTTTTTTTTCCTGAGCACTAGCCTCCTTTTCATCAACCTTATATTTGACAGAATTTGTTATCTCAACATGAACTTTGAGATGCAGATCATGATATACTGGGACAACATGCTATATTTGCCGAACATACGGCTGTATCATCTGCTAGTCATCCTTGCCCATATATTGCCTATTTTGGACCAATACATCCCTCCACTTCCAACTCTGGTGGAACTGTTTCCGAAGCTTCTAATTTCAGTCACTGGAATAGTCCACCTGTACCTGGTGATATACCAACCTCATACACATTTCCTGCAGTGGATCTTCATTATCACAGTTGGGATCACAATTCCTCTCATTTTTCTTCTGCCAGCAGCCGTCTCGGCACCACAGATCAGATCTCAGTATCACCTGGTAGTCAAAGGCCAGCCAGGGGTGTTTCAGAGCTCCCTAGATCTGGATCTTTTATGCATCCATTCCTTGTTGGTCACAGGTACCCCGTTTATTGTTTGTGTACCTTAGGAGATGCTTTAGTATTGAGAAAGTTACTATATTGCTTGAGCCTCAAGTGTATAGGCTTATATTGTTGTATGTTGTCAAATACTTAAAGAAATTGGGTTAATTCAATTGATAGATTAAAAATCTATAGAACTAGGCATATTTTGCTACTTATTGAAAATTTGGTAAGGTCATTAAGTTCAATTGATAGATTAAAAATAGTTGGACCTAGACATCTGATGCATTTGCATTAATATTGCAGTTCTGCTGCTAGGACTGGTAACTCTGTTGCATCCCCAATGATCCCTCCTTATCCTGGCAGCAATGCTCGGGCTCGTGATAGAGTTCAGGCTCTTCAAGCATACTATCAACCTCAGCAACATCATAATTCTTCCTCGCTACGGACACCTGTTGCTTCTAGCACTCGAAGATCCAGTAGTCATAGTGGGTCAGTTCAATTAGCACAAGTGGCCTCGTCACCCGACCAAAGTAGTGGCTTCGTATATATCCCAGGCTCTTCAGCACGCAATTTCCAAGAAGAAACTCATCTGCCAAGTCGCTTCCATGCTTGGGAAAGAGACCATTTACCTGTATTGACATTAAACCATGTTGGTAGAGAATCAAGTTGGAGAGCATACCACCAGACTGCCAATGTGTCAGACCCAAATATCAGATCCAGCAACTTTCGATTGAGGCATGAATCCGAAAGAATGCCTTCACAAAATCGGTGATATACTTGTTATATGTCAAAGTACAGTAATTGTGGAAAATCAAAATTTATGTTTGCTTTAGAAACGTTACATAATGCATTTAGCCTGGCTGGCATGTTATGACAGACTATATACTCTGGCTGGCCTTGGAATTCATGTTTCTGGCAGCCATGTGGCAGTGTGATGGACATTGGGCTCCTCTAGTTTCTCTGCGGGCATAAAATAAGATCTTATTTAGCTTGCAAAATTAGGTTTAAAAACAAAAATTACTGGAGCATTGTCATCTCAAGTGATATAATAGTGGATGAGAGCATTTGTGGTTGGATTTATGTAGTAGTGGATGAATTATTTACTTCTAATGTGATGCTCATGCAAATGTTGTGTATGGAGAATACGCCTAATCTTATACCACTAAGTGGCAATGTGATTATAATCTTAATTTTATACGGTCAAATGACAATGCCATATTATGCAAGAGCTTTACCCTCGGGTTCCGAATTGGTAGGCAACTAGTCAATTAACATATTTTTAAAGGCTGCCTGCTCATTTTACCTAAAAAGGAAATAATATTTACTGTAGTTGTACATCTGATTTTATATAGTTTTAGATGTGATGATAAAATAAGTTAACATGGTGACTACTACGCATGCGAAGATAAGATAATTGAACATAAAAATATAAGAACGCACATGATTGACGTGTTTTTATGAATGAGAAGAGTTAAAAGAAATTAAATTTTTTTATTTAGTCACACGTATTGACAAAGTAAAAAAAAATCGTATTTGTACTTTACAAAGACTAAATTAATTAAAATAATTTTAATACATAATATATTTCATGTGAACCATAAATAAATTTTACCTATTAATTTAATTTATCTTTTTTTTCACTTAATTAGATTCAACCTAATTAATCTGAATATCATGTTTAAGCTTTTACAAACGTAACTTTTATTATTATTATTATTATTATTATTATTATTATTATTTTAAACTTTACTTAATCACTTGCCTTTTCCATTTTGATTTTGTAACTGGGATTCCTGTATTACACATGCAAATGCCTACGTTGATAAATTCAATTTTGAAAAGCCTTTTTAGTATACATTTTATTTTGGTAATTAATTTAAAGTAAAATTTTATTTTATTTTTATCGAATTAGTTTGATTCAGATTAAGAAAAAGTTAATATATACAAACTGGTTCAATATTTAAATTTTATTTTTATAGAATTTCTTGATGTTTTGTTATCATCAAATCCGAATTTAATTGACATTCACGCACAAATGTTGCGCTATATATTTCTAAACATAATAAAAACGTAAAGATGTAAGAAAATAGAAAATTGCAACTGACTATTATTCAAACAAAATTAATATTATAATATACTAGAATAAAAGATAATTTATAAACATGATGTACCGATGTTTTAAAAAGTATCAATAAAGAAAGATTACAATTGTTAACATCCAACATGAAAATTTAGATATGATAATAGAAACAAAAATCACAAATAATGTTTATATATTGAAACTCAAAGTTAAATAATGCTATTATTGTAAACAAATACAAATAACGACACCACTATAATACCATAAAAACAATACGTAATCATAGAAATTGAAAAGTAATAAAATAACATTCAAATATTTTCGTTAAAACCAATATCATTCCTATATTTTTTTCTCTCTCAATTTTACATTCTGTCAAAAATATAAAATATATAATATTAACATAATAACCTGTTTCTAATATTCACATCAGGAGGAAAAAAAAAAATCAAGGCCTAAATCAAACCAATATATGTTAAAAAAAGCACACACACAAAACGGAGCGTTTCGTCTTAGAAGAAAACCTGAGCATGTTTACAATTCTGGGATCCATCATATAAAACCTCAAATCCAAACCCTAAATATCCATCGCCGTTCTCATCTGTCTTCCCAATCGTCAGCTGCATCTTATCGTCTCTCAACCGGTACTACTCTTTCTATCCTCTATGAATCTTCTTCTTCTTCTATTTCCTCAACAACAAAGGTAAATTAGGGTTTTCACCTTATTTTATTCTCTTTTCTGATTTTGTCACTACTTGTTTATCCGATTAGCAAAAGATCCATTTCCTTTGAATTTCGATTAACATGATGTAAAGTCACGTAGCATGAACATATTCGTGTGGATGCAGAGGTGGTATAATATAACGGAGAGGAAAAATGAGTCGAGGAAGTGCAGCAGGGGCGAAGGGGAAGAAGAAGGGGGCGACATTCACCATTGACTGTGCGAAGCCAGTGGAAGACAAGATCATGGACATTGCCTCTCTCGAGAAGTTTCTTCAAGAGAGGATCAAGGTGGGTGGCAAAGCTGGTGCTCTTGGTGACTCTGTTACTGTTACCCGCGAGAAGACCAAGATCATTGTCACTTCTGACAGTAACTTCTCCAAACGGTAATATATTTTATTTGTATTACTGCATTTAAAACGTTTGGCAATAAATTGGCAATAGATTGCGTCTATATGCAATGTATGATAGCAGAAAGTTTTAGCGTGAGATCGCTGTTAATGTTGTGGTTCTTTGATATCAAGGAAAGTTGCCGACAAATGCCATTGATTTGGCTACAATTATTGTTGTTTTTACTAATTCAAAAATCTGATCATAGTGTTTGGGTATACTTTTAGAATTTAGGTTATGTTTAGGGGAGAATTAAGAAGGTATAATAATTTGAGCTTCTTTGATAAGCTAAATGTATTTAACTTTTATAGTAATTCTTCTTCTTCTCATCTAACTGTTCCAAGACTTAGTACATGATTGATCTTACCTTATAGGAGAAAGAAACTTAGAGTCTATATTACCTTAATTTTCTTTTTCCCGAGTGCCAACACAAAAATTTATTCTTGTCATATTATGATTTCAAACTTGTTTCCATTTATCTTGATTTGTAAGTGTTTTTTCTGCTTGTATTGTTGCAGGTATCTGAAGTACTTGACTAAGAAGTACTTGAAGAAACACAACGTGCGTGACTGGCTCAGAGTAATTGCTTCAAACAAGGATAGAAGTATTTATGAACTGAGGTACTTCAACATAGCTGAGAATGAGGGTGAGGAAGAAGATTAGTTGTCTGATAACCTTATTTGCCAAGTGTTCTATTTACATTTTTCTTATAGCTAGCTTCCTTTTTGGCAAGGATTGCTTGTTTTGATCAGTTGCAATTTAACATTTTTGCTCATTTAAGAATTGCCGTACTTTTAATTTCAGCTTGGGAACAGGTTTACATATTATTCTGTGTTTTAATCTTTACTATTGTTAAATTGCATTATGTTCCTTTCCACAATCTCAAATAATTTACCTTTCATAGATCAGTTCAAATTCCTCATTTTGTTCCCTATCGTTCATTTCCAAATTGGTTTCGCTTGGTTGATCATTCGTTGTTTGTTTGTCTGTTTGTACACTCAAATACATGGGTGGAATAGGTTTTGTTGCTTGATTGGGTAAATTTTCTGTGGATGGCATGGGTGGAATTGATTTTGAAAAAAAAAAAATCTTACATTCCTGTAGGATAGAATCGAATTTGGGTGAGACTCACAAATTATATCATATTTTCACTCAAATAGTAATTTTACTTTATCAACCTATCCAATTTTTTCTTTGGCTCTCAAAATATTATTTTTGTCATAATCAATTCTATTAAAATATATAGGAATCGGGATTTTAATTTTTAAAGGCATCAAACATGTTTTCTTATGTAACTAATTTAACATTTTTGGCTCAAGACATGTGCTACCTTCCTAACCATAAACGTTTGCGTTGTGCACAGTAGTTGGTTGGTTGGAATAAAAGTAGAAACTAGAGATAGTGAGAATATTGTATGTATTAATACGGTGTTGAGTTTCACACTTGACCTTTTACACTGTCCTGGGTAATTTTTCTTGAATATTAATGGTACGTCTTGAAAATCTTGTACATTTATTTTTGAGATAATGAAATTGTCAGTGTGTGGGAGAGAACCCAGTAGTTTTGAAGTTGGTCTGATAGACTTCTAGCTCTGTCACTGGTGAGGTCATTTTAGTTGCTAACTACATATAATTTATTCAATGGTGGCCATCACTATCTAATAATTACCTTTGCATTACATTTCTATTTACGTGAACATTACATTTCGATATTTGGTTATATATATATATATATATATATATATATATATATATATATATATATATATATATATATTGCCTCAACTTCTGTCCAATTGTCATTGATTTTATTAATTTTTGAATGGTTTGATAATTTTTTTTAAACTGAGACAAGCATTTTTATATTGCTTGTGTTCTAAATTCATCTACCTTCAAAGTCTTATTTACCTCATGTTAAGTTTTGTCGTATTAGGAGTCAGACATTGTAGTAAGATTTATCATTGTTTGTGTAATTTACTCGTTTTCTTCAAAATGAGGGTAAGAATTTGAAATCTTATCCTAGACTACTGCTAGGTCCTCAATCTCTGACTCCTTTGTCCCCTACATTGCTGGGAAAGAAAGGGGAGGGTCCAGCCTTGACATTAACCTCATGCAATGTCATATTGTAGCGTAATTATGAACCTAAAACTAAATTTTTACATAAAAACTGTAAGAAGGTAGGTAGCAAGGGGAAGAAAAAGGATGAATAACATTAACCTCCCTCGGTTTCATTTTCTCATATCTCTTTCATCACATCTTCCCATTTTCTAAAAAAAATATATAGTTTTTGAATGTGAAGAAATGAGAGAATAGAATACCAAAATTTAAATAGTTAGTTGGTAAGAGAAAAATTAAAAAAACAAAATCTTAGTAAATAGTAAGATTTGGCATATATTTTCTTTATATCTTTTGTTTCAACGGTTTTAACTTTATTTTATTTTCATTTAACTTATTTTTCTTATTTGTGAAACATAACAATTATATTTTGTAAGGCATCTAACTTGTTAGGATGAATAGGGTGTAAAAAGTTTCCAATACTAATATAATGTTATTTTAAGAATTTTTTTTTTTATATTTGTGAGTCTGTGTCTTTTATAGGGTCTTTATTAAATATGACTGTATATAATCAATTTAAAATAGTTTATTTCTTGTTCATTTTAGATCATATATATTTATTGGGTGGATTTACAAATCCACTAGTACAATCTTTGTAAGTGCATATAATTCAACTTAAGTATCAATTAATCAAAACATTTTTAGTCTTGATACATGTCTATCTTAATTTATACTATCAATTAATCAGAGATTATTAAAATATTTTTAAAATAACTGTTATTAAAGACAACTATTACGTATAATAATTAATGTTTGAATAAAAATATGTTTTATATTTTATTTTCAATTGATTTAAATTATATTCATAAATTAATATTGTTCATTTTTGTCAACATTGTCAGAACACTTGTGTAAAATAGCATTTTGTCATGTTTAAACAAAATTAGAATCTTATATGATCTTTAGAAAAATATAATTAAAATTTAGGTATTAAAATTTGACCTAGAGTTGTCATTGAATTTATGTTTAAATAAAGTATTGAACCTCATCTAATGCCATTCCCAGCTTTTTGCATAACTTCTCTCTCACACAATTTTGATATTTGTGCATTGCGTGTTCAAGACTTCAATTGACACTTCGCATTAAGTGACAGTGGAGTACTAATTTTTGAAAACATTCATTCCAAATTTATAAACAATTATAAATTTACCAATAAGTAAGATTAGATTTATTTTTCAATTCAAATAACTTTTAATTAATAAAGTAAAAAATATTTAGAAAAGTTTCTTCGTAAGACATATTGAAAGTGGAAAGAAAAATCTCTATATACTAAAAAAATTAGTTTATACATAAATTGAAAACACACACACACACACACATATATATATATATATATATATATATATATATATATATATATATATATATAACTTATACATAAAGTAAATTAATTTTAACATTTCTATTTTTCTTTTATAAAAGTATCTTATTAATTGGTCAAAAAAATCTTGATAATAAGATTAAAAAAATTAATTTATTGGATAACATTAGATATATCTTTAATTTATAATACTTTTTAAGTATTCATACTGTCAATACTATATATATATATATATATATATATATATATATATATATATATATATATATATATATATATATATATATATATATATATATTATACTGACAGTATATGTTATAGTAATCTATTTGCTCCTAGGAATATAAGTCTGTTTGGTTTTTAAATAGATCAAACCTTTTTTTTTTTTAACTTTTCTGTATAATTTCTTTTCTTCAATTGGGATAGATAAAATATAAACTAACTTATTTTAACTAAAAACAGTTGTCTGAAGAAATAAATAATGCAAAACGATTTCAAATCAAATTAAAAAAAAATAACATCACTTTGAATTTTAACATCAGAAAAATAAATTAATAGGATGATTTGATAATGCTTTGATGTTAATATCTATTTCAATTTTGTTCTCCTTTATTACAACTTTCTTTATAGTTTAACTATACATATTTTTTAAATATATGAAAGAAGTTATATAAAAAAAGTCATATAAAAATATAATCAATAATAATTTCAAACTTTACTTTACTTGATCTTTAAAAATTCAATAATATTTAAAAAATGATAATACAAATTATTGATAAAATTTTTATTTGTTATTAATTTTCTTAGTAGAAGTGAAATAGACAAAAGGTAATAACATTTTATTTGAGTGCATGAAATGAAAGAGTAAAAAAAAAAATGGTTGATCTCTGTTATCATCATTGCTTGCATTATAAGATTATTGGATATTGACATATGCAGCAACACCTGTTCTGGTTTGTCTTGAGCTTCAATTTCCAACACAACAAGCACAACTAAAATGACCTAATTTTCCACTTTCAGTGGTGCATTCATGCATGCATACTTTCCCTTTACAATACAGAGTTTGAGACTATTTTATTTACTTTGTTTTCATTTGGTTTTTGACTGTCACAACCTAACATCCACTCCATTATAGTTTTATACATGTTCATCACGTCACCTACGCCATCTTTTGTGATCATTTACTTACACAAACAACTCGACTGTCACCTCACTCCAATCCAATCTCCTTCAACGTCTCAACACTTGCATAAGAATTAACTCTGCAGAGTGTAGGTTGAGAAAAAAATGGAACATCACAAGTACCACTTCATTGCATCAGCTCATTCGTCACACTTGGTCAAGTCATATGATTCAATTGCTTCAGTCAAAACTCAATATTCAAAATTCATTAACATTGAATTTTAAAAACAAATTTATTAGTTTAAAGTTACAACTCTGAACTTTATCATTTGACTCTTTTGTTTTTGTACTGCATACTACAGAGTGCTATTCAGTCTCTTGATATACTGTACCAAGTTATTATTATACTCTCAGTAATTTTATTTTTTCTCAGACTTAATTTCAAATAAATACTCTTTCTTATTAGAGGAATAAAAATTAAATGCAATATTTATTTCATAAAATAATAAAAGATCGGCGTAAGAAATATAATAAGTGAAATATTAAACTAGTAATTCTTGTCATCCTTTTTGGTATAACTTATTTGAAAATTTGTCTTCATCCATTTCTTATAAACATTGTTTTTTTTTTTTAAGTTCCGAATTATTCAACAACTTTTTTATGAACATCCAATCAATTTGAACCTTGAAATGGGTCACGAAGATAGAGAAGATAATTAAGAAAAACTTATTTTCTTGTTCACTTTGTATAATTGAGCATAACTTGAATTTTAGTTTCAATTGATTTTATTAAAATATAATAATGACTGACAATTGGTTTAAAATTAGATTAGCTAAAATAACCTGTGCATTATTGCTCACTTCCTTTCATATCTAATCAAAGTGGAAAAGAAAAAAATAAAAAACTTGTTATTAGAGAATGACTGTAGAATACATTTAACATTTACTCTTAAGCAAAATAATTCTTGATAAATAACAATCTAAGAAAATTGTCACAAAACAACGTTAAGAACAAATATATGAGTTACTCTATTCTTTAATGTGCACTGAACATAGTGCATGGCATAGTGCAGTGAACTAATTAAACTAACAAATTAACACTTGAA